CTTTACTGAGCACATGATGTGCGTTGTTAGTGTTTAAACAACACTGACCAACTCCATGTTTCATTAAAATGAGATTTAGCCAGGGCTCTGAAGTGGCATTACTGTCTCAGGTCTTGACTTGTTTTTTGTGATCAAGGGCGTAATTGGACCTGCTTGATTGGATGTAGTTCTGCTCAGTATGTGAAAAAACTGTACACTGCACTGAGCTGATAGAACTTCTTAAACAATGTTTTCCACACATAGCTTACACTTTGGTGGTGTGACCTGGTGGAGGGTGGAGACCCATCAAAGTATATTTCGATTGTTTAAAAAATGTTGAGCAGTTTTATTAATGTTTTTTTATGTAAATGCAGCTGGGGTTGGGGGAGAGGGAGAAAGAGTGAAGGAGGTGGTAAAATAAGCAGCCTGCAAAGAAGTTAGCTATCTACTACACCTAACTAGCAAAGCTGTTCTAGCTAAATTTGCTTTCTCTTAGTTTGGAACAACGCCTAGTTGTAGTTACAATACTGATTAAAGGTGGGCGACGTGTCAAAGATATAAGATATCACGGTACTTCAAGCTATTTTTTTTACGATACAGATTATGTCACTTTATTTTTTCAGACATCAGATCAGTCGGAACAGACAAAAACCAGCAGTGCTACATTTAAAAAAATATTATCCAAAACTGTGAATGCTATGATTTTTGTTCAATATTTTGCATACTGCATTGTACTAAATCCAGGTAAACAGGATTCATTTTGCTCCCTTTCTAATGAAACAGGCAGTTGGTCAGTGTTCTACAAGCATGACGATATCCATGATATGTTCAGGAAAGTATATATTATCATGATAACGATATTTATTGTCATATTGCCCAGCCCTACCACCGATTCGTCTAATGTTATCAAATTATTTTGTTGATTAATCGAGCGTACCATTTCGTTTTCGTTTTAAACCTTTAGACCACAACAGAAGTCTAGAGCACTCTTTCTGGATTCCTGACCTTTTCAGAGTTATTCAACATTTGTTTGGAACAAAATGTTACCACTTTAGAAAAAGAATAAACTAAAATTTAAAATTATTTTATTGATGATTATTAATTTGTTCATGAACACCATATAATCAATAATATGCAGCTGTATGGTGTATAGTGTAAAAATATCTCTATTGCATAGTGTAAAAATATTATCATGATTTCGTATTTCCGTCATACTGCCCATCTTTAGAGTGCACACATGGTTTTGCTTTCAGACCCCTTCAGCTGATGGAGTGGATGTAGCGGGATGCCGCTATTGATCCCATTCAGATTAACAAACAGCTGCTATGTTCTAGTGTACCAGGTGGATTTATCGAGCTTCGTGAAGCCACTGGACAAAAAAGAAACAAATGGCACTCTCAGACACAACTCTCCACTATCATCCTGAGTCCCATCAAGTCCACAGATCCACACAAACAGAGCTTCACATTGACTTTTTCTTCAGCCAGCACTGCAGGAAAGAGATGCTAACACGGCTGGAGTCCGTGTTCAGTTACTGTAGCGCAGTGAGAGGGAAGCAGGGATGTGGGGGGAAGAAGCAGATGGGACGGGCGGAGGGGGTGAGGGTGCTGGGGAGGTCTGGCTGGCTAACTGTTATTGTCCGGAGGAGTCTAGATCAGGCTTTTAGCATCGATTGGTGGGCAAGCTGTGGGTTGGCTGAATAAAAGGTAGGAGAAGACAGAAGCAGGAAGGGGGTTTCTACTTCTCTTATCTTTAGATCCTACAGAAAAAAAAAAACATGCAGCGTTTCTCAGTAGATAGACAAAAGAGACAAAAGAAGAATCCTGACCTTCCACAGCTTCTTTGAAAAATATCAGCCAGAAATACCACAGAGGAGGTCTGAAAAAATACTATAAATATATAGACCCTAAAGAGGTTGAGAGTCATTACCGTTATTACTGTTATTATTACTACTATTACCATTTTGCTACACTATTTAAATATAATTGTACAAAATTAATTGCATAGCAATTACATACATCCTGATTTAAAGGCTGCTTTTCTTCCAATAGAAAAGACTGTAAACACACCACCTTTCCATGAAGTTCAAATCATAATTACAGTCTTTTACAACAGTTTGAACACCCTGGTCAAATTAAAACTTGTGAAAATAAAAAAAATGAAAATAAATTAACACATCCTCTACATAGAGCTTAAACATGGCATTTTTCTGCTAATGTATTTATTTGCTGAGTTTAACACATTGAAAAAAATATGTATCATGAAATGTGTCATAAGTTCAGTCTTAGAAATTGGTTACATTTTCTGCTTCTTGCAATCCAAGCAATCCCAAACACATTCTGCGATGTTGAGGTCTGGGCTCTGGTGGTTTTGGAATAAAAAACATTAAACTGGGCAGTTGCTGATTATGTATGAAGCAAAAATCTGCCGATTCCGACCGTGCATCTCTACAATGAAGAGGTTTCAAAGGCATCACAATTGGCTGTCCCTCAGGTAAATGCATACTGTCGGGATATTCATGAGCAGGACCTTGAGTAAGATGTGATGACTTTACAAAGAATTTAAGTGACTCTTTGGAAAAAAGTTTGCACAGTGCAGGAAGAAGACAAACCACTCTACCCTTCACTTCTGTATGTACCACCACAGAGCACCGCCATCCAAAACAAACGGTGCAGTGAATACTTAACCAGCTCTGAAAGGAGCCGGGGCTTTCTTAACGAACGCTCTAAAATGGGAAAGAGCAAGAGAGAGGAGAGCTGAAGAGAGAGAGAGAGAGAGAGAGAGAGAGAGAGAGAGAGAGAGAGACAGAGAGAGAGGCAAGGTGAAGAGAGAGAGAGAGAGAGAGAGAGAGAGAGAGTTTGGCTAGCTCACAGCTGTCTCTTCAACTTTGTCATTTCTCTTCATTAAAAGGACGGACTACTTCAGGTCCTACATCAGCGTTCTTTGGAGCACTGAAGAACCATTTTTGGTTCCCTGAAGAACCTTTGGTAACACTTCCTATGAATCCTGTATTCGCAATGCTTTATAAATGCATTAATAAGGCATTATATGGCATGCATAATACCTTAGAATTCCTGGCATAAGCCTGAATAATTGCTTATCATTAGTTACAATTATATGTATAACACTTCATAAAGCAAGACTTTATGACTTTATAATGTAATAATTCATATCCCATTATTATATCTGCTCAAAAGAGCATGGTAAAAATGAATGTTGTAATGCACTGTAACTAGGTTCTGGTTATCAACCTAGCTAAAATGAATCTCTGTGATATGCACATATATGCACAACAACATTAACTCGTAACTGAACAGAAAATGTAATACATTATGGAACCTGACTTATGAAGTTATATACTCTTGCTTTATAAAGTGTTACGCATGTAATTCTGCCTATTTGAAAGCAAATAAACAAGCTTATGCTATGTATTATAAGGCTTATGTATGCAATATAATACTTTATAAATGCATTTATGATGCATTATGCATACATGCAGTATTCATAGGCAGTGTTACCTTTCAATGGACAGTTCTTCAAAAAGACATTTTTATAAATGAGATATGAGAGTGTAAAGAAACTTTTCAGAGTTTAAAGAACCTCTACATGGCGAGCGTGAAGGTTCTATACTAATTTATAAAGGGTTTCATCTAGAACCATTTAAACATCTTTATTTTTATGGGTGCTTTCCGTTACCTAGTGTTCTCCCCACCAACAAGTCAACTAATCCACTGTATTATGATTGACTAACATTCCACTTAATCCATTTAATCATTATATGTATGTATCTAATCATATATCATATATGTATATTCTGTTGTTGTTTCTTTTAAATGAGTACATGAAGTTGAAACTGAAGACATGAGTCACACTTCAATCGCCCTTTTTTGTAACCCTTTTCAAACAATACAATAATAACCTCTTACAGATCTAAACTGCTTCCTAAAAGAGAGCAAAATCCCAGTGCATTCAGCAATAAAGCAAGTCTCATGCATCTTTTATACAGTGTTAAAACAAGGTAGCAAACAGAAAGCTCCAATTCCATGATGATATACTTTATTAACAATTAACTAATAAGGATATGCACACGCTATAACTCCTCTGGCAGCAGATTTAAATTAGTTTGTGGAAATAACGCTAAATTTTCCAAATGGATTGCTGAAGAGATGCTCGGTTTGATAGGGTTAACGTACATTAATGGAATTTCATTAATTAAAAAGTCATTTTGATTATTTAATTATTGCTTTTCAGTCCATTTGTCATGAAAATTCTAAATTCATTCAATTGTTTAATGGATTGTAAAGAAGAGTGTGGTGGATGCAACATGAAAAAGCAAAAAAAAAAACTGAAATCTGATGACAGTGATGAAGGTGAAATGTAAACATTGCAAACGTTCAAAAAGTACAACTTTGAACACGTTGTACAATTTTTAAAAATAAATGTGCGGTAATGTTAAATTAAAGTCTCTTATTTTCCCTGTTAATTAACCAAGAGTTTGGGTTACTGTATATATACAGTGGTGATTTTGGTAGTGTTTTGTTTACTTTGTGTTCCTATTGTTAATTGTAATGAAAGTTTCTGAATAAAGTATGTAGCCTAAGTTCATTACTTCATTTGTTATTTGGGGGGAAGGTTCTACAGTCCAGTCTTGTCTGGTGCTCTGTTATCTATTTATTAGCCTTTCTGTCAGGGGAGAAAATTGCCCTGATCGACTGAGACAGCCTTACTCTTTTCCTTATTTTTTTTTTCTTCTGAAGTTTTTTTCCCCTCCTGTTTTTCTGACTTTTACACTTTTCACATCTGTCTCCTTTTCTCCAGCCAGCAGTAAAACGCCTCTCCATCTTAACAACTGCCCAACCGTGCAGGGCGACTCAGCAGAAACGCGAGACCAAGGGAGAGCTATAGAGCACGACTCAGCGCTTCCACAATTATTACCGCACTGACCTCTCCGTACCTGGGAGGGCAGGCTTGCACGTCCACTCTGTCACACGTGGGAAAAAAAAAACACCACGTGCATATACCTGGAAGGGTCCGCTGGGGTACACCATGACGTTGGCCTTCCGCCAGTCAGGGCCCTGGTGCCCAGAGCGGCTCCACACTACAGAATCCACAGTGGCTATGCTTTTGACCCTCAGGAGCACGTTCAGAGTACCTGCAGAACAGAGAACATCAGACAATAAGCAGGGTTTCCTTTGTGCCGGAACAAAAAGGAACCAGATCCGGTACCTCCAACATTGGATCTAACATTGATATCTCCCCACTTCACTCAGATATGAAACATATAAAAATATCTGTTAATACAGTTGTGTGAAAAATGGTTTGCCCCCTCTTGATCTTCACTAGTTTTGTCACACTAATTGGTTTCAAACAAAACATACCATAAGTTCCTGGATGAGTTCGCTGTGTTCTTGGAGGAATTTTGGTAGACTGCCACTCCTGGGAAGACACCCCACCATGCCAAGCTTTCTCCATTTGGAGACAATGGGTCTCACTGTGGTTTGCAGGAGTCCCAGAGCCTTAGAAATGGCATTGTAACCCTTTCCAGCCTGATCCATCTCAATAAGTTTCTTTCTTATCTCTTCCAGAATGTCTTTTGATTGTGGCAAAGTGTGCTGCTTTTAGCCTACTTCACACTGCCGAAAAGCTTCTGTTTAAGTGATGTTTAGATTCTAGGGCTAGAGGTAATCAAGTCACAGTGTGTCTAGTTTAACTGATCCCATTCATCAAATAAATCTGGTTAATTGGTTAATTGAGGGGGCAAGTACTTCTTCACATGGGGCCAGTTGGTGTTGAATAACATTTCGTTTAACAAATGAAATTATCATTTATAAACTGTATGTTGTGTTTCCTCAAGTTGTCTTCGTCTTCTGTTAAATGTTGTTTGAAGATCTGAAGTGTGACTAATATGCAGAAATAGAAGAAATCATGAGGGGGCAAATCATTTTTCACGGCACTGTATGCTTCAAGAAAAACAACGTAAAATCTTAATATTTCTAAAAGAAGTTGCTACGTATGACATTTTCAACTGATCACATGAACATGTAACTTCATGCCATAGAACACGTAGAGTTTTATGTTGATTTTTTCCAATATGTTTAAGTCAGCAAATAAATGGAAATCCTGAAATAAAATTTGCATAAAAATGTCATATTTAAGTTTGTTCCCTGTAAAGAACGTGCTCACAAAATATGCTATACATTTGACCCAGGGTACTCAAACTTTTGCATATGACCGAAAGGGATGTGATATTTTTATGTGAGAACACCAGCTCTAAATAAATGCAGAACTGATCCCGTTTGGAAAAACAGTGAAAATGAAACATATGCAGTCATAATTGTGCAACTATAACAAAAACAGGCTTTACATGGTGGTGCTGTTTCAGCAGGCATGATATAATGTTACTTCATCGTAGAAATTGGCACTGTTATTCACCATTCAAGATCTGTCTGAGTGTTCCTTTACTTCATTGATTGTTTTAGTATGGCATGTGTAGTTTGGAACAAAGCAAATGAAATATGTATTTTTAGAACTGGGTAGAACTGCAGAGAAGGTTAGACACAAGTATTTGCTACTACCCCCTCATGTTTACTAAAACAGCATCATTTAAATGCAGCTTTATATGGAAATAATTTTAAAAGAAACTACACACTTGTAGTGTAATTCTGAGGGTTAAATGGCAGCATGTTAAATCACTAAATCTATTGCAGTATATCATCCTGCAGTAAATACATGTGAATCCTTTCATGTTTCAGCACAAATAACAAAAAGGGTTAAAGCGCCCATCTCTGTTCCATATCAGTGCAAAGATGGCAAATCCAATTAGTTTCCACTCCATCCTATTACGGCTTAAAATGTCTTTGTGTCCAGATGTTCTGTTGTGAGTTATGAGAGTTATAAGAGGCACCTGGAGAGTGCAACTCCATAATATTCTGTTATATTGCATTACATTACATTATATTCTTTGATGGACAGAGAGACAGAAGGAGAGTAACAGATAGACCAACAGAATGAGAGACATAAACATAGAGAGAAAGAGAGCAAAAAACAGACAGAGAGGGAGAGAGAAGAGAAAGAAAAAAAGAAAGAGTAAAGGTAAAAAGGAGAGAGGTATGAAGCAGGGAGGTATGACAGACACAGGGAGAGAGAGAGAGAGAGAGAGAGACAGAGAAAGAGTGAGAGAGAGAGAGATTCACAGTCTCAGGGTGCTGAAGCTTCTCGCAGAGTGAAATGAGCAGCATGGCAGAGATTCAGACCAGTGTGGCGTTCACAAAGCAGACAGATGGCACAATGACAAAACAATATATTTACAAACACTGCACAAGAGGCTGTGGCAAACCAACAATCGCTCACTGGAGCTAGCAGAAGAAACACGCTCGTGCCTACAAACATTACTCAGAGATTACACTGACACAAGTAATAAAGCCTGAAAGAAAGAAGGACTGCTCGTGAACGGTTTATATGTGTGCATTAAGGCAGACTGGCGTCCCGGGCTGGTTTCCTAGAGTGAGACAGCATTAGCTGAAGGGACGTCTCATATTAAAAACATTGCATTAAGTCTGTGCACCGCTCTAGCTAAAGGTACGGGGGTACACACATGACCCCAATCACTCAGGGGAGATGCAGAGAAAGTGAGAGCAGGAGAGGGAGAGAGGGAGGGAGGTAGATAGGGGCAAAAGGAGAGAGAGGAGAGAGAGAGAAAGAGAGAGAGAGAGGAAAGAGGCCGAGAGAGTTAGTTAAGTAAGATATATGTGAAAAAACACAATAGATGGGCTAATTTTATCACTAAATATAAGGTGTTTAATTATACTGTCAACCTCTAGAAGATTCAGCACTGGACGTGCACACTACATTTATCACTTCAGTAAAAATACAGTTATTTCTGTTTCTGTTTTTTCTGATATTTTTTGCTGCTTAAAGTGTTGTCCTTCAATGTAGAAGCTTAACTCTAGAGGTCTAGAGCAGGGGTGTCAAACTCAACCACTAAAAGGGCCATTTTTAAAAATTTTGCCATGACCCCAACTGGCCATTGTTTGTTCAAAATATGCCAAAACTACAAAAGCAAAAAAAAACATTGAATACTTGAACGATTCAAAAATAATTTTAAATAAAAAACTAATTGTTTTATACAAAAACAAAAAAAATTAGCTGCAGGTAACTAATAAACCTCTTTAAATGTCCCCAATTTACAGTAGGAATTTGAGTACTGAAACTGCTATCTGGGCATTCACTGTATTCATTATAATGTAAAACACAGTGAGAGGTCTGATAACGCTTCACTGAAGAGCAGCATTCGTAAAGCTACATGACACCTCCTTAAGCTTTTCATTACAACTGAACATAAACATGAATAAACATTTATGAAGGCTTATTCCAACAAGAATCAGTTACTTACATGGCATTACAGTTTTAAATTAACTGAACTTCAGTGTACTTCTACTCACCAAGTCCAACCATCAGCAGTCATGGGAGACCTATTTGAGTCACATGGACATGCCGGGTGTGTAAACAGCTGTACGTCTTGATGCACAGTTCAGATCAGATCTCTTGCGATGGCTGTTAATACTAGGCATGTACACGGCTTAAGTACTTTGCTAGTGTCTTAACATAAGCACGTTGCCAATGGATGTAATTGAGAAGGCAGAGACAGTGTGGCCTCTGTTGCATCACTCACTAAAAAGTTTCAAACTGCCTCTGGGCACAACATCAGCACAAGAACTGTGTGTCGGAAGTTTCATGAAATGGGTTTCCATGACTGAGCAGCTGCAAGTCTAAGATCACTATGCACATTGCCAAGCGTTGGCTGGAGTGATGTAAAGCACACCATCACTGTACTAAAGAACAGTGGAAACTTATTCTCTGGAGTGATGAATCAGGCATTCATCTGGCAGTCTGATGGCAGTTTGATGAACAAATCCAGGTCTGGCAGATGCCAGTAGAACACTATCTACCAGAAAGTGCAGTAAAGTTTGGTGGAGGAGGAAAAACGGTCTGGGGCTGTTTTTCAGGGTTTGGGCTTAGTTCCAATAAAGGGTAATGCTAGTGCTACACTATATAAAGACATTTTAGGCAATCATATGCTTTCAATTGGGTGGTAATAGTTTCCTGTTCAGCATAACTGAATCCCTGTGCACAAAGCGAAGTCCATGAAGACATGGTTTGACGAGTTTGGTGTGGAGGAACTCCAGTAGGTTTACACAGACTTCTGACTTCAACCACACTACAACTTTTGGATGAACTGGAACATCAACTGTGAACCAGGCCTTCTCGTCCAACATCAGTGGCTGACCATACAAATGCTCTTTTGACTTTGACAAATTTCCAGAGTCACACTCGAAAATTATGTAGAAAGCCCACTCAGAACGTATGCTCTTATAGGTATAAAGGTCAAGTGTCCACATCCTTTTGGTCATATAGTGTATGTGACATAAGATTTGTCCGTACTGAAAGTTTAGAATCCGTAATTTTGACCAAAGTTTTTTGTTTTAACGAGCTACTACAAAGAAATAATTAATACTGACTTACACAGTGCTATTGTTATCGCTAGCGATAACCGCCACTTCTAATAGTTAATGGATAAAGTGCAGCTCGAACACATACTGTGCAAGGAGAAGAGCCTCTAAACAAGAGTACAAAGCATAATCCATCTTTCTCTGCCATATGTTCCCTGCTGTAGAAAGCAAAGCAACTCCAGCCTGCAACAAGATGATCCTGTGATAAAGCTTGCACAGGCTCATCCAAACACTCGTTCATCACCCTAATGAGCGAGAGACAAAGAGAGGAGAGGGGGCCAGTCACAGTCAGAAGCAGTGGGATTCAATCAGGGAAGGTACAATGTTTTTAAACCACAATGCTGACTGCCTTTTTGTTCTTCTTTTTTATGGCAGAATATTGAGTTGAGGCCATGCAAATCCACTATGACACATTAGTTAGTCTGACAATTTTTCTCCAGATTCTCTTTTAGATTCCACAAAGTTTGCTTCATGCAGCTTTGCACACTCTTGGTGTTCTCTCAAGCAGCTTCATGAGGGAAGCTTCACCAACAGCTTCACATGGGAAGCTTCACCAACAGGCTTGAAGAAGATCCTCAACAAGCCTTTGTTGGCTGCTGAAAACTACTTGTTGGGGAACATTTTAAAAAAATACAGTACTGTG